TTAGATTGCTGTGGGACATGGATTTTATCAAACTCATTGCCTATCATATGTACAGTATAATTGCACTACCACCAGTGTTTTTCCTTCATTTAGAATGCAACCTTTGTTTTTGAAAGTTGATATGATATATGTTAGAAGGCATGGATGCTTCAATTGGAATTGTTCACGTTAATGGTTGATACACTTGCAACCAGACTGGAAAGTGATGGGTATTTTTTCACTTCCTATCACTCTCTGCTCCCTGATCAAACAAGATATCTTTGGTGGGGGGCAGGGTGGTTTTTGTTGTTACTGTTGTTGAATTAATGCTAAAGGTTAAAGAAATAAAAACTGTTACTCTGACTCTTCTTAACATGTCTCTGTTGAAAGGAGGCCTTAAGAACTATCCAAGACTGCCCTGAGGGTTAGTTCACCACAGTGAATGTCTGGAGGCTATGACTGGCATCTGGGATACCTGTGTCTTATGTTCATTAAGTCTTAAACCCTTGCAAAGTACTCTTTCTCTAGTTGACAACAGCTTGGTATCTGTTCTTCAGGTCAAAGATCCAGGCAGAATTGACAGCATTGCTATGAAGAGATATTCTGCCCAAAGAGACTTAGTAGTGAATTGTTTAAGGATGATATCCTGTACTATAATTCAAAGCCTCTCTGCTCGTTTACTTTGCAAAGCAGTGTGAAAACATGATGAAGAATCATTTTTCAGACAAAATAATTTCTAAACCCAGGTGCTTTAAAGCTACCACTCATATTAATCCTGCTATTGTTTTTACTACTGTAAATGAATATTTCTGAGTCTTTAATCTTTCAGAAAATTGTAAAAATTAAGTACTGCCCAATTTCCCATAGGTATAATGACACCTATTTGTGTCTTATGTGTATTATTTAAACATATTTCTCTTCTAGCATTCTAAATCAGTATTCTTTTAATCCATTGTTAGGATCTATTTTAAAAATAGTATTTATAGTAAGAAACAGATTTTGAATGCAACATCTAATTAAGGAAATGAGATAAATTATATGACAGTTTGGTGGTTAGCGACTTGAAATCGTCTTTGAAGCCCTTAATATAATTAGTGGTTTCGTTTTTGGTCTGCTGAATTCAAGTCACATTAGGTTAATGTAATTAAAAGCAGAAAAGATTTTGTGTAGCCGAACTAGTTAATTAGCCCCAGTTGGTTTAGTATGTTAACCTAGAGGTGTATGGATAACATTGTGGGGTGATGCCTGAAAAAAAATTCCTGTGTAACAGATACTGCAAATCATCTGACTTGCTTTAGGGTAGAAAATGAAGACATACCAAGAAGTTCATTTTAAGTTCATCTTTATTTCTGATTTTAAGTACTGATTGCAGGGTAAGCTGTATATGCCATAGAATAACCAGACAAAAACCTTAATTTACTTTCTAAAAGAAAGCTTACTTCTCTGTGTGCAGAGATAATGTTCCTTCTTGTATTCTGGAAATAAGAATTCTGATTGTAATTTTTTTCGTGCTCACCAGAAAAAAAAAATGAAATGATTCTCTCCACTTTTGTTTGACAAGCTACATCTTATTCCTGATTTTTCTATATAATCTTATTAGTAAACAACACAATAAAGGAGATGAAGGCATTCTAGAAGGGATTTTCAATGACTTCAGAGAAGCCTTTAAGTACTAGGAGAGAAGGCTTTTACCCCTAAGGAAAAAATCAGTTATAGCTTCTTAAAGGGAAAATGCTAGTATATAAGAATCCCACATATCAAATACGTTGAGGTATTCCTTACCTTAATGTCACTATTTTTTTTTTTTAACCTGAGACTGGTTCTGAAGAAAATATAAAGTGTAAAGTTATTTGAAACTTAAAAAAATTTTTTACCATTTCCTCCTTTCTCCTCCTCTGGCTCCTTGCCCAAAAAGAGCAACACCACTGGGAACTTTTTTGTTTTCATCTAGTATGTAGATAGCTGAGGCCCCCCTTTAAGCGCTGTCTAGAGCTTATGGAAATGTGGGCTTCTAATGTGGTTACTACTGAGGGCTGGTTAGGTAGATGGTAATGAGGAAGAGGGACCTCTGCTTGGATTTTTGACACAGGCTAGATGCCAGCATACTGTCTGAAAGCTAAACACGTTTCTGCATCTCCACTACCGGGATTATGTTAATTGAAATAGTCCTACTGCAGTGCAGTGTTTTAACATTGTGTCTGTTCATTATACAAACTCCTTTTTGATAGGTTTACAATTTGGCTGTCAGATCCAGCTGCAGGAAGAAATCTGCCAAGAAATATTTCTTAGCTTGTTTTAAATAGTGCTATTTTCACAGTTACAGTATTTTGGATGTGTTAGAAGACATATTTTTCCTTTCTCTGAAGAGAGAGGAAATGCCAATGTTGGTTTACAAAGGGGTACTAAGATTTAGAATATACAAAGTCACCTTTTACAATCAATATTTTTATATGACAACATAAAATGGTGATTGTTAGCAGTAGGTTACTGTTTAAAAGTGGTATGTTGTATTTGATTGGATTTTTTTTTTTCCTATTCTTTTGTTTATTGAAAAGAAGAGGCCACCATGCAGTCCACATTTGTGACCATAGAGAATAGAATTATGGCTTTTGGTTTGCTCTGTTTCAGTTCAGCCATTGACATAATGCCAAAATCAATTTGAACTTATGGAAACTGAAGACTGTCATTTTCATCCATTATTTTTCCTGCTTCTGTTTTCGGTACTTTTTTTGTTTCTTCCTTCACTTTTGTCAATTTCTATCTCTATCATCTCAAGGAAAAAAGTTCCTCCCAGGTTTAGTGAGGTTTGTTTGATTTTCCATTAAAGTTGTAATGTTCATTTTGGGCTATTTAACCTTTATTGCCAGTGGGTTTTATAATGAAAATGTCTTGTTGATGGGATGGAAGTTATGTGGGGGCATTTATACTAATCTGGGGAGCCTTCTCACTGCTTTTTTCAGATAGAATAAGCATTTATGATATTATTTAATTTTAACCCCTCCCTCCTTTTTCATTTTAATTCAGCATTTATCTTTAGGTCAGAGCCAGGTCTTTAGAACAAGGCTTGTAAGCCTCAGCACTAATGACATTTTGGGTGTGTGATAATATTCTTTATGTGGTGGACTCCTGTGTATTGTAGTATATCATTGAATTGAAAATGCAGCTCATAGAAAAGCATATATCACATGATTTTGCTTTGGTAATAGTGTGTGTGTGTGTGATATATTTTTTATATCTCTATATCCATATCTACTCATCTATATCTATACTGAGAGAGAGGGAGGGACAAAAGAAAAATGTTTACAAAGTGTTGATGGTAGTTAACTTTTGGAAGGTTTTTTTTCATGTGACGTATATTTGTTATTTTTATTCTGTTTGAGAATTTAGGTAAGTATATATGAAAAGAATAATTCTATCATTAACATATCTCGTAACTGCTAGAAACCTTTATAAAAATGCTTCAGTAGGTAATACACTAATTTTATCTACAAAAGCCATTTGTATTCATCAAAAATCTTTCAGGTGACTACTCTATGCAGACGTTTTTCTAAGCATGAAGGACAGAATCCTGAACAATGTAGAGAAAAGTTACAGGAAGGTTCTTAAAATGATACGTGGAGAATCATGATCTTTTTTAATAAAAGGACTAAAAAAAAATCAAGTTCTAAAGCACCCCAAATTAAAACCACTTTGTTAATATTTGGTTTGTCCTAAGACATAAAGATTTGGTTACAATCTCTAGTTTGTGGTATCTGAATTGAAATGAAGCAATTTAGGCATTTCAAAACAGTGTGACCTCCGCAGTTACAAAGTAGTAAACTCCTGGTGTAGGATGAAAAAAAAATTATATTTGAATGGTTCCTTCCTTCCTTCCTCCCTTCCTTCCCTCCTTGCTTTCTTTCTTTATATTTTTGTTTCCTCCTTTGTTTAATCTGTAGACTGTACAGAATAACTTTGAGGTCAAAACCTCCATAAATAAACAGTCTGGAAGTTGTCCCTGACAAAACTTTTCTAAGGTTCAGAGCTTTATAGATATTCATGGTTAATTGAACTCCACTCCCCACCAAAAGCATCTTAAATTAAGTAAAGATAGTTCAGTTTCATCCTCCCAATCTTAATTCATGGTTAGCTTCAGCCTACTTATTGTACGGCAGGTCTGCTTATATTTGTAATTAATTCTTCTTCAAGTAATTAAGTGTTCAAGAGTGTACCCAAATGAATTTCCAGATGATTTATTGGGATCTGTTCAGTCTCTAACTCCTAAGTCCCTAAGAAACTGTTGGGTAGAAATAAAATCTATGTTTTTTAGGACATGTCAGTTTCTGCAGTGTTTTGAAAATTAAGATATATTCCTTTAAAGCTACTCTGGCAAGTTAAGTAATGAGAAATACTTTTGTTTTCATATCTTGTAACACTAGAATATGGTTCTTGAAATTACTTATAACTAATATGTATTTGCATATTAATTATAGTCACATAGTACTAAGAATTTCCCAAATAGTGTTGTCCTATGATATAGCATAGGAAACTATATTCAATATCCTGTGATAAACCATAATGAAAAAAATATAAAAAAGAATGCACATATATTTATAGCTGAATCATTTTGCTATACAGCAGAAATTAACACAGTATTATAAATCAAATATACATGAATTTTTAAAAATTTCCTTTTTCTTTGTTCCACTTATTAACCAAATTGCTCATGCATTTTTTTGGTTAATTAAATAATATGAAAGAACCTGGCCAGTCTGGAAACACAAATTTCTAGTTATACAGAATATAATAACTTTACAAGAAATGTAGGTAAGGAAATATTTCGCCTCTTTTATATGGTACCTTTGGAATAAATTCTGTTTAAAATTATTACCTATAAATATGGCAAATACTACACATCAGCTATTTTATTTAATTAGGCTTTCTTTGCATGCTTAGAAAGTTGACTTCACTTACAAAGACCCCTGTCATATAAAAATTACTAAAGCATTTTTAATGATATTCATGTGAAACTTTTTTTTAAGATACGAGGAGGAAAGCTCATGATTACTTACACCCGCAAAAGTGATGCAGGCAAATATGTTTGTGTTGGTACCAACATGGTTGGGGAGCGTGAGAGTGAAGTAGCAGAGCTCACTGTGTTAGGTAAGTACAGTTTTATTTGGCTTGCTTAACTGTAAAGTGAATCTCTTGTTATTATTTAGTACATTTATGCAGCAATCTGCCAATGCAGGAGATGCGGGTTTGATTCTTGGGTAAGGAAGATCTTCTAGAGAAGGAAATGGCAACCCACTCCAGTGGGTTTAATTCTTGGGTGAGGAAGATCCTCTAGAGAAGGAAATGACAACCCGCTCCAGTATTCTTTCCTGGAGAATCCCATGGACAAAGGGCTAGTGTCCTTGGAGTCTCAAAGAGTCGGACATGACTGAGCGACTAAACAACAACAAGGGAAAAAGAAATGGCCTCTTCTAGAAGGTAAACCAGTATTTTGGGAATGGAAAAAAGACAGATGAAATTAGTAAAGCAGCCTTAGATAAAGTAGCCAAGACACAGACAAATAGGAGGGGACACCACACCAAGAGAGGAGAAGTGGGGAACCCTGTGGAATACTTTTTTAAATTATAAATCTGCTCTTCCATAACATCCAGAATGACTTTAAGTTTCTGTATTTTTTTGAGATGACTTTTTCTAATTTTAGAGAGACCGTCCTTTGTGAAGAGACCTAGTAACTTGGCAGTCACTGTGGATGACAGTGCGGAATTTAAATGTGAGGCCCGAGGTGACCCTGTGCCCACCGTACGATGGAGGAAAGATGATGGGGAACTGCCCAAGTCCAGGTATGAATGAGAATTTATTGGTAGGATTCATCTACCCGGAATTGCTATGGTTCTCATCTGACCACTGTTCACATATAAGCCACTAGAATGGTTTTCTCTGGACTCTGATCTCCTTGGGCCAGACACAGTAACAGAGATAATTAGAATCAGAAGGTTGCCATGCTTTCTCTGAGAGTTTCAGATAAGACTGTACATTCATGACCCCAACCTGCTCAGGAACCCTTGTAAGATGTGCTATTCCTTAAACAGTTTTCTCTTTGTCCAACCAGACTACAGTTAATACCAGTGACTTATATGGGAGTAGGTAGGGAAGGGAGGAACAGCACTAAAGATAGAAGGACGAACCAATTAAAAAGCAGACTTCCTTTTCCTTAGCTACAGTATCACCAGGGAATGGTAGAAGAGGTCAGAGTTTCTTGGTATCTGTCAAATCCTTAAATTGCCTAGAAACAGAGATACACTCCCAGCCTTAGGGAATGAGGTAATGAAATGAAACTTTCAGGCACTGTCTTGAGGCTGTCATCTCTCCTGTGGCCATTCATTCACCAAACATACCTTGAATCCCCTATTAAGTTTGCAGGTTATAGCAATGGTTTAGATAAAGCTTCTGTTGTCAAGTGAACTCACCAAAGGAGACATGTATAGATAGATTCAGAGTAACATAGCAAACCTTTTTATTGCATAAAGGTAGACCTGTGGAGCAGAAAATCAGGAGAGAGTTCTCAAAGGGAAGTGACAGAGAAGCAATGTCTTGAAAAATATATCAACTTGATAAACAGAAAGAGGAGAAGAATATTCAGGAAAAGAGACATCATAACACAGACACAAATCTAAGAATGTTTTGTGTGGTGGAAAGTTAGCATGGCAGAACATGGGGCCTGGGGCAAGAAGTTACAGCAAATCATGCTGGAGACAGAGAGGCTGAATTCACAGGACTTTGTATGGATTAAAGGATTTTTAATCATATGGCATGTACTTGATGAGCCAAGAGAGACATTACTATGAACCCAATTGCTTTTAGAGAGAATAACATTTTTAGCATTAGGGCTATCACATCAGTGGGGGTGAGGCCAGTGCCTGGGTCACTATTGTTATTGTCCAGATAAGAGATGTGAATTGCATGAATGGGGAGATAAGATGGAAATAGGATAGGGGTCCATTATCAAGACCAAACTGAGGAACTGAATGATTTGTTACATATAGGGAGCTGGTGAAGGAAGGCAGGTAGATTGTGTTTGGAGAGGGAGTTCTTTGATGTGCTAGGATAAGAAAAGAAAGTTTTATATAACATATTAAATAGGTGTCTGTGGGATATGATGTCTAATTACTAGTCAGGGTAAGGAATTTGAGCTTACATAAAATAGGAGCTAGAAATATTTGTGTAGTTGATCAATATATAACCTACTGGATAGTTTAACTCAGGGATTTCATGTAGAGTAAAAGGAAGATTAAAGTGAAATTTCAAGGAACATCCAAAATTTTAAGAAAAAGAAAGATGAGACAAGGCAAGAGAATTCTAGCTTGAGACTGCCTGGGTACAGATACCAACTCTGCCATTAAAATAGCTGAAGAACAAAGCCAGTTTACCTTACCTTCCTATGCCTGTTTTCTCATCTGCCAAATGGAGATGAGCATAATACTTTATAAGTTGTTATAAGAATTTTAAAACAGAAAACCTACAGAATACTTAAAGTCTGACATATAATCAGAATGTATCTAATGATCACCTAAATTTTACTGAGTACAGAAGCTTGAAGAAAGAACTGAATAAGTGCCAACTTTGCCCAAAAATATTCTGTTAAAAAGTAGTTTAATGAAATATCATGTGTTAATTCATATATATGGAATCTAGAAAGATGATGCTGATGCATCTATTTGCAGGGCAGCAGTGGAGATACAGACATAGAGAACAGACTTATGGACGTATAAGTGGGAAGGAGGGAGAGGGTGGGATATATGGAGAGAGTAACATGGAAACATATACATTACCATACGTAAAATAGATAACCAATGGGACTTTGCTCTATGACTCTGGGAACTCAGACGGGGGCTCTGTAACAACCAGAGGGGTGGGGTGAGGAGGGACATGGGAGGGAGGAGACGTAGGTATACCTGTGGTTGATTCATGTTGATGTTTCCCAGAAACGAATACAATATTATAAAATAATTATCCTTCAACTAAAAATAAATAAGCTTACTTTTTAAGAAGTAGTGTAATATTTTTGCCCCTGTGAATATAAAAAATGCTCATTTCTATGTGCATGCTTACGTAGAGGGTTGCCACATTATTTAGCTTTTGCTTTAAATTTTCTGAAGAGAATATTGCATGTGATTTGATGTCTAAATATGCCTCAATTGTGACGATGGAATTCCTCAAGTAGAAGCTCACTTAACTCTGCTTTCTTTTGTTATGTCACTAGATATGAAATCAGAGATGATCATACCTTGAAAATTCGGAAGGTGACAGCTAGTGACATGGGGTCATATACTTGTGTTGCAGAGAACATGGTTGGAAAAGCTGAAGCATCAGCTACTCTGACGGTCCAAGGTAAGATCTGGGGAACGTTTTTTGAGGTTGACTTATTATATGAGATACAACATTGCTATTTTAGAATATGATAAATTAGTTTGTATAAATTATAGACTTTAAATAGTGCTATGTATATTTGATTTCAAACATAATTAAAGGAAATTATTGTTTTGCTTATGGGAGCCCTGTAAGTGTTTGTTACAGGAGAAGCACAAGAGCTTTTTTGTCTTGGGCAAATAGAGGAAGAGATGTGCTTTCATCTCTGGGTCTTCAAACATAGAGCTTTAATTGAATGACAGGTATTGCCACAAAAATGTGATCTTTAAGTGGAAATAAATATACTGTTCCTTCAGGTCATGCACTTTCAAGTGTCTGTTCAAAACAAAAAGGTGAAAAGATTGTTGTCCCATCCACAGAGTAGGGACTTTTGCAGTCTTTTTCTCTGCACACAGCATCTGTGACTTAACAGACTCTCAATAAATATTTGTTGAGTGAATGAATCACGTTTGTACTTTGCTAATTTTGATGAAGATTTATTGTTTGGTGTGATGTGAACCAAAATGGATACCATACTCTACAACTACAAGTTTTTGAATGTCAAAGTTATGTCTGTAACTGATATGCAGAAATGGTTCTGTCACCTCCTTTGAGTCCATAATTTCATATGTTTTTTCATTCTCATAATACCTTTTTCCTTCTCCCATGATGTCATGCTGACTATTTCTTACTATGTCTTATCTGAGAACTTTCTTTTTTTTTTAGGGACATTATTTATTGTGGAATTTGAGAGACAGTGACCTTTAAAGACTTTGTGTTGATGAAAAAAAATTCCATATTTTGACAAGTATATTGAGTAAAAAGGGATTTTGGCCACTTAGCTTGTTTCTGAGTATGACATTAGCAACACTTGCTCTGTCATCATTTCTGAGCGCTGTCTCCTCTAAGGCTATTATGAAGAAAAAGGTGCTTTTTGAGGGAGTGTTTCTACTGTGGGCTTTCTACAAAAGAGCCTTGTGGGCTTTTTACACTAGGAAAAAAAAGAATAAAGAATATTTCCTTCCTGTCTCTAAAGCCATTATGTCCCACTTTGGGGTTTTCAGCTCAACCTCATAAAAACAAAAGAAAAAAAGAGAAAAGATCAAGAACAAACATTGAATTTCTAAGGCCTAGACTACTTCCCTTTAATCTAAGTTAGATTTGAACTCCACGTAAGACTAAAACTGTAAGAAAAAAAAAACAAACCCTTTGCATTTAGAAAAAGCATAAATTTAAGAGATGTCAAGTTTAAGTTCAAAAGCCCTCCAGAGGGAGTGAAAGTAGCCCAGGATGAATACAAGACATGAAAAGGTGTGTCTATCTCCAGGCAGTGGTGACCGGGAGCTTGACTGTCTATTACATTAGTCAGAGAGATGTTTTACTTGATAAAGTCCTTTACCTTGGGAATTTGATGCTTTTATAAATAATAGCTGTTCTTCTGTGTCTATAGTAGACATTGAAATCAAAATAGAGTTTCTTCCTGCAGTCTTATATTCAATTCCAAAGTTAATTCAGCCTTAAGTTTTCTGTATGGAATTTGTGTTCCTAAGCCTGGATTTCAGTGAAAACTGGGGTACAAATGATGAAATCCAAAACTACTTAAGGAATTTAGAAGTTCTTATTGTTTTTTTTAATATAAACTTATTCATATCTGTATATTGTTGAGAAGTTATTATTTTATTCAAGTATTAAAATATGTGCTTTTCCATCACTGTTAAAATACAAGCTAGAATAATATGCACAAATGTGAAAGAAAATAAAATGATCTCCAACAGCAAAAGATAACTAAGGAATAGAAACAAAGGAAAGTTTTCAAAGGTAACTTGAAATGCTATATATATATATTTTTTTTTTTCCCCTTGAGATTAAGTGAAGAAAAACACTAGTTACTGCAAAGAAAACTAATCAAAATATGAATCCATTTGACAGCAGGAAACAGTTATAAGAAGTTTAGTACCATAGTTGTTTTTGATTTCTGTATTTTATTTGTGGTTCACTTTTAAAAGGCACTATTGGAGTCAGTATGAGCTTAAAAATAACCTTTTCCTTTCCTCATTCCTCATGCAATAAATATTTAATTTTGAGAATTGACGTTGGGCAATAGAACCCGGTGCTCCAGGTAGAAGTATTGGGGAAAAAACGTTTCTTAAGTAAGGATGAGCATTTGATTTTCCACCCCCATAAGTGTACCCCAGTACACTTATGATTAGTTCTAACTTCTAAAAATTAACCTTGATTGGAGAATTACTTGCTTTTTTGATTTTTTTCTTTGAAATCTCAATTCTGCTTTTTTAGAGACTCTGTGTATTTCCTTAAATATTCCGTTCTCAACTCGTGATGTCTTTGACTTTTCTATTGTGTACTTAAATGCTTAGCACGTTACTAGGCATCTAGTAGACACTTTATATAATACTTGTTACAATTTGAAATAGATATATGAACTCCAGCGTTCTACTGGAGTGGTAGAAGTATTGCAGGGATGTCCCAGTGGAAATTCAACATCTCCTGGCGACTTTGATTCTAGTGCCAACAGTAGGTTGCATTAAATCATATTTGAAGAGCTTGTCATCTATGATGACTGCCTGGTGGTCTGAGTTTGAAAGGAGCAAAGTAAAATCTGGGGCTTGACAGGGTTTCCTAAACTTAGATGAAGTTTGTTATCTGAGCTTATATGAAATATCTCATCATATATCTGAGCTTATCTGAAACTTACTAAATATCCAGGTTATTAGGCATGCCCCCTGGAGAACCTGATTTAACAGATCTTCGTTGGGGTACAGAAACTTGTTTTTGTTTTTCGTTTTCAAGCAAGCTCATCAGTCCTTGTAATGACAAGTTATCAGATGAACTTACACAAAGAATAAAGGGTTTTAAAAATTACTCTAGAGTTTGGGAATTACCAGAGCTGGAAGAAGTACATTACAAAGAATTGTGTAGTAAAGAGTATAGACATTGGAGTCAGATAGAATGTTGTTGAATCTTACTTCTGTCGTTTACCTAAAGTGTGACCTAGAAAAAGTTATTTAAATTTCTTGAGTCTTAGTTGCCCCATGTATAAAAAGTGGACAGTAATACCAACCTCACAGCATTTTTCAAGTATTAAATTAGATTATACATATAAAAAGCTTAACATATTGTGTGTTACAAAGTGTTTTATAAATAAGGAGCATTGTATTAGACAAGTGTTAGTGATAGCTTCATTGTTTAATTTTAATAATATTAGCTATTTCATAAGAAAAATAGTAATGTTCAGATAATTCTAGATAGTTCTTCCTTTGCAATCGTAACTGAGAAATCTGAAGTAATATAATCATGATAATTTATTATGTAGCACATTATTAAAACTCTTCTCAAATATGAATCATTAAGTTTTTATTAAAAAAAACTTTGACTTTTAAACCTAATGTGCTGAATCTTGTTAATGCCATCAAAGGTAGTGCTAGACTTAATGTTGAGGTTATGCAAAATAACTAGATAATATAATGAAAATTATGACCCTTTGGGAATAGAAATGATTTCAAAATGAATACATTTCATGTGTAATGGGGTGTTACTGTTATGGAAAAATGTTCAGCAACTCAAAGGATCTGTAGTAATTTGACCTATTGAAAAATTATTAGTGTCCATTACATGACCAATAAAAAATGATGAAGTAATGCTGTTTGGAATGACAGCAATAGAAAGTGTTTCTATTTAACTCTGAGTTAACCAGAAAATTCAGTCAAACTAAACTTGATATTCTGTCATTTTCTGAAATAATCAAAATATTATTATCTATAAATGTAAATCATCAATATTGTTATATTTATGACTTGGGTTTTTATGCACCATTTTCCCTCCATCTGGTAATAACATTTACACACCTCCTCAAGAATTCTTTATAAACCTAAAATACACAAACAAATTCAAGCATCTTTTTAAAGAAATATTGTGTCAATTTTGATTGATTACATTGTTGTTGTTCAGTCACTTAATCATTATTATATTTGCATTTTAATGTCGACAAGTGTTACGATTGCTGTCACGGTAGAAGTGAATTATCTTCTAAACTAGTGTTGCATATTGCACAGTGGCCCCATCTTTTAAGGAAATAGATGTATAATGTGGTATTTATAACCATTTTACAGGTTGTGACATACCTATAAAATGTAAAGTCCAACTGGAACAGAATAGATTCAGAGAGGCACCCAGCCAGGTTTTTAAACAGCATGCCATTGAAACTGCTGAAATTTATGCCTCTGGTTGGCATTTTGAGAATGGTTGTGGGTTTGTTTTATATAATTTTGCTATCTTAACCTAAACCTGTTAGGCCTTTATTAGATGTGTGCCAGGTGGGCTTTGAGATTCTTCTTGAAATCACATGATGGCCAACCTAAATTTTCTACTTGTTTTATTTTTGAATAAATTCATAGTTAATGTAAAAAGTGGGTACATTTTTTTCTTTATTGAAAGTAGCCTTTTAGAAAATCATGGTGGATGCCCCCTCAAAACACTTATAGAAAAATAAGGGAAGAAAAATAACTTTATTTACTATTTCTAGTAATGGCAAAATATTTAAAATTTGGATTTATTTATGATGGTAATAATATCTATAGCTTTTTAAATAATTCCACATTTTGAAACATGCTGTCTTGAAAGAAAGATAGTCAATAAAACCACAAGGGTTTTAATTCCAAATTTCTCGCATTTCCAAGTTTGTCCTCCACCCTAAGATTTTTTTACAGTTCTTTGGTTCAGTGATATTCATTGCTTAAACAGGGTAAAGTCGATGGCATTATTAATCTTTCCACTCCCTTTGCAACTTCACAGATAAAGCAGCTCTTATTACTGTCACAATTTCATTGACAAAGTAAATTTGTGACTCTCTATCACCAGAGCGATCATGTTCCCATCGCTGTGTCTGTCACAGGAAACCGAAATGAGAAGGAACTTCCATATATCAGCCATTTCCCAAGCAATCACATGTTATCTCTGCTGACTTG